GGCTCCTTGCATGGAGCTGACTGACTGGGCATGGCTGATTAATTTACCTGTGAAGCTGTGCTGCTGCCCAGTTCAGAAGGAACACTGCCCCTGACTCATAATATTTCTGAAGAACAATATTTTTCTCTTTGGAATACATAAGATTGCAATTGTTGCCTAGTAGCCTCTCAAAATACTAAAGAAAGAAGAGCCCTGAAGCCCAGAAAATGTCTCTTTGTCTTTCTCTTCTTTATTTCAAACAAACACTGTGTTGCACTGTCAACGTAATTTTCGGAAACAAAATATAAACATTTCCAGCAAAGAATACTTAATATTTTTTCCAATTGCCGTTGCTCTCCTCCCTGGTTATTAGAAAATATTTTATTTAAATGGGAAAGCCCATGAACTAATCCTTCAGTCCATCACCTCATCTCTTTGTGAACACATACATGAATGGAAAGAGCTAACTAGTGGTATCCCAAAGGGGTCCATACTGGGACCAATCCTATAAACGTAATCATAAATGATATGAAGAAAGGGATAAACAGTGAGGTGGCAAAATTTGCAGATGATACTAAACAGCTCAAGATAGTAAAGTCCAAAGCAGACTGTGAAGAACTTCAACAGGATGTCACAAAAGTAGGTGACCGAGCAATAAAATGGTAGATGAATTATATTGTTAATAAATTCAAAGTAATGCACATTTGAAAACATAATTCCAATTGTATGTATAAAATCATGGGGACTAAATTAGCATTTGCCACTCGAGAGGGATCTTGGAATCACTGTGGATAGTTCTCTGAAAACATCCACTCAATGTTCAGCAGCAGTTAAAAAAGCAAACAGAATGTTAGGAATCATAAAAAAAAAAGTTAGTGAATAAGATAGAGAAAACCTTATTACTTCTACATAAATCCATGGTATGTCTGTATCTTAAATACTGTATGCAGATGTGGTTGTCTCGTCTCAAAAAAGATATATTGGCACTGGAAAAAGTTCAGAAAATGGCAATAAAGATGATTAGTGGTATGAAACTACTACCATACAAGGAGATATTAATAAGTCTATGACTTCTCACCTTGTTAGGAAGATGACTAAAAGGGCGATGTGGTAGAGGTCTATAAAATCATGACTGGTGTGGAGAAAGTGAATAAGAATATTTACTTGTTCCTATGACATAAGAACTAGTGGTCACCAAATGAAATTAATAGGCAGTAGGTTTAAACCAAACAAAAGGAAGTATATTCTTCAAGTATCAGAGGGGTATCTGTGTTAGTCTGAATCCGCATAAACAACAAGAAGTCCCGTGGCACCTTATAGACTAACAGATTTATTGGAGCATAAGCTTTCGTGGGCAAAGACCCACTTCGACAAATGCAAAGCTTATGCTCCAATAAATCTGTTAGTCTGTAAGGTGCCATGGGAATTCTCATTGTTTATTTTCTTCAAGTGTCACACAGTGAACCTTTGGAACTCTTTGCCAGATGACGTTGTGAAGACCATGACTATAACAGGATTCAAAAACAGAACTAGATTAATTCATGGAGGATAGGTATGTGAATGTCTATTAACAAGGATGGGCAGAAGCTAAGAATGAGCAACAGAACATGGACTACTTGATGATTACTTGTTCTGTTCATTCCCTCTAGGGCACCTGGCGTTTGCCAAGGTTAGAAGACAGGATACTGGGGTAGATGGACCTTTGGTCTGATCATGTATGGTTATTCTTATGTTCTTATTATGTTCAGAAAGACAGATATAACAAACACAAAGGGTATGTCTACACTACAGCGTTATTTCGAAATATCTTATTTCAAAATAGTTAATTCGAAATAAGTTATTTTGAAATAACATGTCTACACATAAAATGCAGTTTGAAATAGCATTTTGCTATTTCGAAATAGCGCGTCCACACTGATTGGATGCTAAATTGCATTTAAGGCCAGCTGAAACTGGTTCCAGCAGGGTATAAGGTCAGTAGTGGCTTTGTGTGGCTGCTGCCTGAGGCTATCTGAGGCTTGTGCTTAAAGGGACCCCCCTGGACAGCCGGTTCTCAGCTTTCCGTGCTTGCTTGCCTACCTTGCTGAGTCATCCGCCTCACTGATTTGGATGCGGTGATCGAGGGGTTTAGCACCCTGGGCTTCCCCAACTGCGGCTCCTGGCCGTCCTCCTCCTCCTCCTCCTGGGTGTCATGGGCAGGGCCCTCTGCCCCAGGGTCGATGATCACCTGGGGGGCACAGACTGTCTGAACCCCCCAGGATGCGGTTCAGGGCATCATAATAGGGGCAGGGGTCCAGGTCAGCTCCTGGTTGGGAGCTGCCCCCTGAGTCCCTACCATAGGCCTGTCGCAGCTCTTTTATTTTCATACGCACTTGTTCCTGGGTGTGCATGTGGCCTTTGGTGGCCAGGCTGTCAGCCATCCACCTGTAGACGGCCGCGTCCCTGTTTCTAGTGCGGAGATCATAGACATTGGAGGCCTCCCCCCAAACCTCAATTAGGTCCACGATCTCTGCACTAGACCAAGAAGGCGCCTGCCTTTTGCCACCCCTGGCAGGCTCCTGGGAGCTGCCAGCCTGCTCCTGGGGCACAGTGGAGGGCTGGGTGCTACTGGGTTGCTGGCTCATGCTTGGCCAGGTGCACAGACTGCTGGCTCTGTGCTGGCAGGCTTGCAGCTGGCACAGGCATTGTGGCCAGAGTCTACCACTTTATGGGCTCTGGTGCTGGTGGGGGGGAGCAGAAGCATTTTCCTGGTTGTACCCAGAGTGGCCACCAGAGCACGCTGGGAAGGGCTGGAGGCCCTCTATTTCGAAATAAGCGTCTACACAAGAGTTTATTTCATTTTAGCTATTTTGAATTTGGCGTTATTCCTCATGGAATGAGGTTTACCAAATTTGAAATAAGCGGCCCGTTATTTCGTTTTAATTTTGAAATAGCAGTTTGGCTGTGTAGGCGCTAGTAAAGTTATTTCAAAATAACTTTGCTGTGTAGACATACCCAAAGAGATGAAGTAAAAGCAGTGATTGAATAATATTCAACAAATGTATTATTTTTACTGGTATTCATCAAATAATTTCAATTATTGTTTTCATGATATTAATGCATCTATTTGACTGATCAAATATTAATAATCCAGACAGAAATGACTAAATTAATACTGATGGAATTGTTGGATTACTACAGATGGAATTAATCGAATGTGTGAGATGAATGCATTTGTTGGTTATTTCAGCACTAGTAGCAAGTTACTTTAAAAATAACACTTATATCCGATATTAAGTTCAAATATGGTACAATTAAAACTGTAAATAGTATGCAAAGGATTTATTTCTTTAGTGGTTAATCATTTCTTTATTCCCAGTTCAGAGTAAGGAGCAGAACATATTTGCATTGCTCTCAGAGAAGTCTGAACAGGAGTGACTCTATGAGCTTCCCTGAGTTAATCTCTCTCCTGATTCTACTGTTGCTCCATGGAGGAGTCATCTGCACTGGGTATAGAGCAGGTGGAGCCTATGTTCTTTGACATGCTGTCACATCTACACTTACCAGCATGTTGGGCAATCTCTACTTCTTTTTCCCACCTGTGATGTGAAGTGATGCTGATGGAGGGGAATGTAATGGCTTTAAAGAAACCAGTTCAGCTCCTGTGCTGCTCCTCAGGATGCCACAATTTGGTTCTGTAATTGCCTTGGATTTGGTTGTGTGGCAACAGGAATCTTCATTTTGTTAGGCTTAGTTTTCAGGTTGTATATAATTTCCAAGCCCCTGAGTATGGTACCTTTACAGATGTAATGTTCACTGGGTTGAATGCTTAGGACAGAGTAAGGAGCAGAACATATTTGCATGTTCACTGGGTTGAATGCTTAGGGTGAATTTTCTCTGTTTTCTTTCATGTCTGTGAGATGAACAATTATTCAATATTAAATGTTCAAAGGCACCTTGTCAGGTTAAAAATAATATTTTAAAAATATTTCTTATGTGGGCTATCAGAAATAGCCTAGCATAATTAAAAACAATCTAATTTATTTGTCATGTATTGGTTCTCTTTGCTTACCTTCTACATTTATTTGAGCTTCAACAATAAAAATAAGTCAGTTTCAGTTTTGTTTCCAGTCAATTTCATTTTCTGGCTCTTAAGCACCAACAACAGCATTGTAAGCATGGTAGGAAAAGGTTTTAATCAAAACAAAATTTCACTTTAATTAAAAAATAGACAAAACCAGTGATATATTTCTTTTAACATTAGTTTTTGTATTTTTTATACTTACAGTGTGAACTTTTTAAATATGGTTACTATAATAAATTAGGTTTATGATCTGGGAGGCTGTAAAACAAATATTTTTAGAGACTAAAAAATGCAAAATTTAGCAGGGAAATTTGGGTGTTTTTTAGCAACTTTAAGATTTTATTATGGATAGTACACTAAGTACTGTCTTTGCACAAAAGTGTTTTATTTGCTTTGAGCTGCAAATTCCATTAGACTACTTTCACAGTATAACTGATTTGTATCATAATATTTTGTAGTTCTCTCATTTAATAGTTATTTCTTATTGTTTGTTTTTGTGAATTGTGAAGAAAAGATAATTTCACTTCCTGGCTAGATTTCAGTTATGCTAAAAGTAGTCCATTTTATTCTTAATGTCAAATAAAAAATATCCACTTTGTGAGCCATATCCACTCTGTTATTCTTAATGTCAAATAAAAAATATCCACTCTGTGAGCCATTTCATCTTTAGAGACTAGACCAAATCATTTCTGTTTGCTTCCCTGTTTTGTGGGCTTTTGTGTCCAGTAGCAACAACATATTCAGTTCCCAATTTCCTGCCCCTTACTTTTTTAATACATTACACAGGGCTACAATTCTTAGTATGATTTAAATAGTGATACAGTAACAAGAGTGTGATAAAACCACATATGATTGAAAGTTGCATGAAAAAATGTAAGCCTTTATCAGTTTAAGCAAATACATAGTCTACTACATACTTTGACTGTCTTTTTAATGACTTTTCATTGTTGTTAAACAGAGAGCATCAGGACAACAACAGGAAATAAACAATGTAGTACAGAGAAAAATTGCTGTAGATGAAGAAAATGCTCTCTTGAAGAATGAATTCAGTAATTTGCAGCAGAAATTTAAAGATAAAAGTGAAGAACTTAAGGTATATTGACTTGTACATAGTTTTATAGGACCATAGCTTTGAAGTACTTCTCTAAGCAATGTCAGCCTTTGTGACACAGAAAGTGACAAGCTTAGAGGAAAAATTGCCTTAGGCCTTGCTGTACCTTACAGTTTTCTCACACACCAACTCTGAGAAAGATGCTTTAAAGCTAAGAATCCAAGCTTTATAACTTTCAGATTAATAGTTAATGATGGAAATGGAGCAAAGAAAGTAGGAGTGTGAAGATGTGGCTTCTTGTAATTAGATTCTGATGGGACTGGCATTATTAATTGATAAAGCTGAGGTCTGGGAGGATATGTCTGTGTGGGTCTCAAAAATAGCTGGGGACAGCATCAAAGGCAGCTTGATCAATTAATGGGCTCTTTGCAAATGTGTACTCATCAAAGCTGTCATCCAGCTAAAATATATGACCTTCCACCTGCATGAAGGAGGCCAATAAAAGTACACAGGTGACCTTGGCCATCAAATATAGAAGAAGCTGCTGTGAGGGTAAAACTGCACAGTTTATATTTGCTGATTAGTTCTCACTTTTTTTTGTTTATCGGCCCTTGTGGTACTGTTCTACAGGACGCTAAGGAGTGTGCACAGAAGAAAGAAGAGCAAAACAGACTGGTTATAAAAAATCTGGAGGAGGAAAATGAGGGATTAAATACACGCTGCACTGACCTGCTAAATGACCTGGAGAAACTGAGGAAGCAGGAGGCCCAATGGAGAATAGAAAAATCTGGTATTGATACCAAAATAAAGGTATGATGCAGAATGGACTATTGGATATTATTTCAGAACTAACTTCTCACAGGCATTCACACTACATGTTATTTTCTTTAAATAACAAGTTATATATTCAAATCTACCAGTGGGGACTGACATTCATTTACATTCCTTCACTTCAGACCCACAGCTTTTTAAAAATTGATGTTGCCAAGCAGGAAACTGACTTCAAATAATCATCCTAAAATGTAATCATTAAAATATAAGATATTGGTGTTTGAGATACAAGGTAATTCTTTAAAAACAGCTTTAAAATCTTTCAAGATTTTTTCTCACTTACAGTTTAATTCAATATAATTTGATTGTAGTGGACCTGATATTTGTTTTGTAAGATGATTTTAAGAACTTTTCATCTATAGTTTAGAATAAATTGCATCTCAGCCTCCAGAGGGCTCCACTCTTGGTGAAAGGCTTTTTCACTGTATATTATATTTGCAAAGTTATATTCACTGTTTGATTAATGTGTTGTCACATTGTGCTGAAATGTATATTACTTCCAATTTTTAATTCTTTCTCATGAAAACTGGCATGTCTTTTGAAAATATGTCTAAGTAATAAGTCACAAATGCTAGTATCAAGCCATTTGTTAGAGATTACATGTGTATTTATATAAAGTTTATATATTTTATTCAATCTAAAGTGCACTAAATAAATTGTTATTTTTCTGTAGAATCCATCCTCTGCTGGTATATTGTATGTCATCAACAGCATCATTTTGGCTTGCACATCATGGCATTTTAGTGGCAAGGGAGGGTAGAACAATGTAGTGTCCTTTGATCTCAGGTGAGAGGGACATGAAATGTTGCAGAGGCAATCCAGCGAATTCAATGATATTTAGTGTCACTAATGACTATTTTAGGCATGGTACTGAAAAGCTTTAAGACAGTTTCACACCTTATAAAAGAGATCAGTTACTGAAATGCAAGGCCTCTGGTTGTGTGGAAGGTTTATATCCATTCTCAGGACTCTATGATGTGGCTTGAAGATCCTCGAAAGGGGCAACTTCACTGATAACTGTATATATTAGAATGATTTAATAATTTTCAAGTTGATATAGAACGTATCAGCTATGTTATTTGCAGCATCTCTGATAAGTTGTTGCAAATAGTTGAACTCTCCATAATTTCCTATTACATCAATGAAAAGAGTAAATTCAAAATATTTTGGGTAGATTTTATGGCAGTTAACATATACCATAAAGAGAAAGAAATTTGTTTTAATTGTTTGAGCATGGGAACAGGTACAGGGAACCCCAGCTCAAGTACTGACTCTCTCTATAATGCTCTTCTTTAATTTTTCTAATCTGTAATGTAATATAGTAATTCTTATCTCACAAAACTGTTCTGAGGATCAATAATTGATGTTTCTAAGGAGCTTTTAAGAGGAAAAATATTCAATATGCACCACATACTAATAGTATGCGTCACGTCAGAAAAAACAGATATAAACTTTCGTATATACACATGGATTTAAGAAACTTTTAAACTAAATTAGTTACCTTATTCATGATTGTATTACTTATGCATAAATTACCTATAAATATTTCCTTGACATTTTAATAGGTTTCAGTTTGACTTAATTTCTTCCTCTGTTCTGTTCATTCTTCCATTTCCATTACCAGACATTTTCAAGAAGAATGTAGTAGATGCCAGATTTGTTTTCAACGGGGCATCAGTAAACAGGATGGGATATTTTTTTACCCCAGAGAACAAATATGAGATTATTAACCTGTATTGTGTTGCTCTGAGAGTGGTCAGTTTTTCCAGTGTAAAATGTCTCTTAAATGCTTAAGTGTTTTTAAAATGGGAAAATAAGTAATAGGATTTTCAGTTTGTTGATTTTAAGTGATAATAGAAATGGCAATGTGAGGGTCCATATTCATTGTCTCTGAATGATTTCCATATACGATTAGCTGTGTTTAGGAGATAAATGTTTTTTTTTCCAAATACTGGCTATGCTACTCAATCTAGTAGCTGGGACAGAAGCTGGGATCTCTTTGGCTTGTGCATTAGCACTGGTAAGAAATATTGTTGTTAATGCTGTGAATGAAGGATCCAGAAACACTCCTGCACACTTTCCATAATCCTTTTCCAATTGTACAGCAGCCAGAGGGAGAGCAAAATTAATAAATTTAAAACATCCTAAAATTTTACTTATAAAATCTCTTTTGTAGACATTAAATATTTTAGTTTTAAATATCCTAGGCTAGATGTTATTACTATTTCTCCTATTGAGGTAGGTGGAACTCTCACCTTTCAATGGGATAAAGTACTGGTTTCTAGTCCTGGAGGACTTGAGATATCAGGCTTCAAGCACTGACATTTTTATGTATTCAAAAGCTGTGACTGTTATCCAGCTATACTGAAAGAAGGACAGGAGACACTTGACATGGTTTTAATCAGGGTTCAACTTTATTATTAGATGTCAGGAACGACCCAGCAGAAAAGAGTATACAATGGAGATAACTCCAGGTTCATTCACTAACCATGCGGGGGAACAGAGGAATTGACTTCAGCCTGCCTCATTATTTTTCCAGCCAAGTCTCCCAGGCAACCAATTGCTGGGACATTACTGTTCCCCTTCTACAAGGATTAAGGTGGGCTATAAGAAAGGATGTTGCTCTCTGCTGTACCTGTTGTAACTACTAACGCTCCAGTTCTGCTCCTGTAACCATTATCTATTTTTAAGCCCTTTACCAAAGAGTTTATCTGATCACAGTATACCTTTCTTATGGCATGCTTGTGCTAGACACCTGCTCTCACATAATGATTTGCAACATATCATCTACTACCTTCACTCCTCACCATATCAAAGTCCTCCCTGAAACTGCTGTTGTGAAGACCAAAAAAAAAAAAAAAAAAAACTTCACCTATGAAAATTGCTTGGTAGCCCTCCTAAAAAGGAACAGCTAGTGCAATGCCCACAGCAGGTTCTGACCAAGTCTGCTAGCCTCTTCAAGGAGAGAGAGGATGGGTGCTACTTTTTGTGCCCAGGTGAAAACAGTCTTTTACTTCCCAACTTGCCTCTTTTCACAATTCCTTAGACCATCCAGTTACAGGCTCAGAGTCAGTGTCAGCATGCCAGCCCTCTCCCTCTTTTGCAGCAGTTTCTGAGCTTCTCCTCCCCTCTAACCTCAAAAGCACTATTCCCTCTCCTTCCACAAGCTGGACACCCCACCCCCTTAAAGGTATTAGGTTATTTTTATTGTTATTGTTATTATTATTTGATTATTGTGTCAGCAGTTTGTAGCTATGTAGATCTATGGAATATTCAATAAGTTCCAGTGAAATAGAGTAGTAGGTAGAGGGCAATGTGATCAAAAGTGACTAATAAATACAAGGTAGATTGATTTAAATCAAAGCCATTTAAATCACTGATTTTCGTCCTGTTTTAAATCAGTAAGCAGGAAAATATGATTTAAATAATTGGTTTTTAAAAAATTTTTGTAGCTTAGTTATTTTCCTAAATAAAGGTTAATTCTCATTGTTTGATACCTGTCAAGGCTGTTCCCCACTCTAGCACTTTGAGTGCAGAAAGTGGGGGCCTACAAAATACCTTAGAATACCCTGCCACTAAAGGCGTCTGTTTAAAAAAACTCCCCAAAATCACAAACTCCCTAACCTTGGGTGATATGCTGCCACCACCCAAATGGAAAACCCCCTTTTTGAACCAAGGAAGATGTACATGGAGAATTCTTCCTGTGTGATAATCCAAAGCTCTTTAACCCTTCCTGATGAGAGAGCTTGAAAACAAACTGTAATTTCTTAATAGCTGAAGCTTTATTCTCAGGCACGATCATAGAGAACCTCCTGCTTTCTAGGACACAGGAATCAGATCATAGTCTTAAAAAAAGGGTGATTTTATTAACAAAACAAAGACATCATATTTGGTAAAGCGTACTTGGTTGATAGGTGCTACAGAGCACAACATTCCCTCCTCCCCCCCAGATTAAAGCACATCTAATTGCTTCTCTAAGATTCAGTTTTACTTACATGTATATATATTTTTTTTAATCGGCACAAAGAAGTCTCACAAACCAAGAAATAAAGCAAATAACCTGATTGTGTTTAACTACACATTCCCTGTTTACTCACATATGTTGTTCCAAGGTTCATAGAATAGAATCATAGAATCCTAGGTCTGGAAGAGACCTCAGGAAGTAATTGAGTCCAACCCCCTGTCCAAAGCAGGACCAACCCTAACTAAATCATCCTAGCCAGGGCTTTGTCAAGCTGTGACTTAAAAACCTCTAGGGATGGAGATTTCACCTCCTCCCTACAGTAACTGATTCCAGTGCTTCACCACTCTCCTAGGGTGTGTCTAAACTATATGCCTCCGTCGACGGAGGCATGTAGTTTAGACACACCCCTAGTGAAATAGTTTTTCCTAATATCCCACCTAGACCTCTCCCACTGTAACTTGAGACCATTGCTCCTCCTTGTTTTGCCATCCATCATTACTGAAAACACCCTCTCTCCATCCTCTTTGGAACCTCCCGTCAGGAAGTTGAAGGCTGCTATCCCCCTCACTCTTTCTTCCGTAGACTAAATAAGCCCAACTCCTCCTTTGGGTGCACGGGAGGCTTGAGGCTCCTTCGGTTACTGGGGCCTCACTGGCCTCTCTGACAGGCCTTTTATATCCCTGGTCCTGTCTCCTGGCTTCTAGTCAGGTGGGTCGCTAGGGCTAGGTGCTGCTCACCAAGGCTCAGGGAGGGGCTCCTCCGCTTTGGGGTCAATCTTCAGATACTCACTGATTCTCTTAACCCTCCTATTTTCTATACCCTCTGTTCCCTGTCTCCCACCCCCGCTCCTTTTATTCCTTCCGCCCCTTCTCTCCTATTTATTTTGGGTCTGCACATCCTAAACTCAGAAAAAGTCATCTGAAGAAGTGGGCTGTGCCCACGAAAGCTCATGATACCATCTGCATGTTTTGTTAGTCTATAAAGTGCTATAAGACCATTTTTTGGTTTTTTTTTATGTACAGACTAACTCGGCTACTCCTTGAAGATTATAATTAATGTCGCTACAAGACACATCTGTGGTGGTTTAGGTGCTTTGGATGTACATTTCCATACTTTACCATGTTTGGATTTCACTTAAATTTCATGGCTTTATAGTGCTTGATTTTAGAATAATTAGAATGTTGCAGTAATGTTTTTACCCTGTTTACCCATTTGAACAAAATTTTTTTGGGAATGTGTGTTGAATGTAAGTGTTAGGGCATAACCATTGTTCTTTGTGATTTTTAACTCTGAGTGGCTCCTATGCTTTTTAATATATTGCAAAATTAATTTACAGAATTTGGAAACTGATTTAACTGAGGCAAGAAAACAAATGGAAGACTTGCACACTAAATGCAATGACTTGACATCACAAGCGATTGTTAAACAGACTGAATTAACACAAAAGGATTGTGATGTGGCCAGAGTTAGGCAAGTATTTCACCCATTTGCTAAATAATCTACTAACTTGCAATTTTTAAAATGAAATTATTTTCTGACTAGGGCGAAAATAAGGCTTCTTTTGCTGCTTTTGCAAAACAACATACTGTTCTATCAGGCTACTTTGTAAAATGCAAACGTTTTCTGGAAAATGTTTGGGAAGCTAGTCATAGAATCTACTATTTGTACAAACTATATTTTTTGCCTTTTGCCATGTGTAATGTACATTTTTTAAAGAAAGGATGGACATTATTAAAATTATTAAAATTACATTTTTATAATTAGCATTAGGTCAGAGAGTTGTCAGTCTCCACTGAAAGATGCAAAATACCAATATGATTAGTAACACAAGCAATTTATTTGAGAGGCTAAATGCTCCAAACCTACAAAGGTTCCAAGCCTAACTTTTACTTTTTAATTAGAATAAAAAATGATGGGTCAACAGGAGTTTACACGAGCCTATGTAAGAGGTTTAAAACTGTGATTTAAGCTTTATCTGAAGTCTCACAGATCTTTTTATTAGGCTGAATCTGGAGGATTAGTGCTGCATATTTGAGATGTGTAGAAGAAATGAAAGACAGGTTGAATTATATGAATTGACAAGGTTATTAAAATAATCATAATGATAACAATGGCAGAAGACATCTAGCAGGTTTAAGTGGATTGATGAGGAGTCCATTATTCTCTTATTTGTATAGTTCCATAGGACTACACAGCATTGGCTGGTAGAAGGGATGTATTAGGCAAATAGTATATTTCTTGCCTCAAAAGAGCTTACATTCCAGGAGCACAGATTGGAAGGGTGCAAATAAAGTAGATCGATACAATATGTAGATAGCAGTCATTGCAGTCGGAATGCTTATTCTTTATAGTTTTCAACCACTAATAATTTCACCATAGGAAATCAGTGTTTTGTCTTGAAAGAAAAATGAGAAATGTACTCTAATTTTTATGTAACTTTATTTGTCAATCTGGGATTAATCTAGGATTTGTACTGAAAAAGCTGTCCCTAGTTATTTTCGTGTTTAAAAGTAATAAATTCATCATCTCAATGGTTAACAAAAGTTTAAGACTCTCATATAATATGCAAGATTTTAATAGGTTGTTCTATGGAAAAACAAGCTCACGGGATTTGTACATTTTATCAAGTAAATTTTTGAAGTATCTCTGAATAGAATGTTTTTCTAAGAACTATGCTTCTCTGTGGCTCAAGATATCTATGAAGTAAGGGTACATGCATGGGAAAGGACATTTTCAAATCAGGTAATCAAAACTGACAGGCTACGTCTACACTGGCCACAATTTCCGGAAAAGCCATGCAAATCAGGTAAGTCAGGATAGGGAAATCCACGGGGGATTTAAATATCCCCTGCAGATTTAAATAAACATGTCCGCCGCTTTTTTTCCGGCTTGGGGAAAAGCTGGAAAAAAAGCGTCTAGACTGGCGCGATCCTCCAGAATAAAGCCCTTTTCCGGAGGATCTCTTATTCCTACTTTGAAGCCGGAAAGGAATAAAGCCCTTTTCTGGAGGATCTCTTATTCCTACTTTGAAGCCGGAAAAAAAGCGGCGGACATGTTTATTTAAATCCGCGGGGGATATTTAAATCCCCCGTGGATTTCCCTATCCTGACTTACCTGATTTGCATGGCTTTTCTGGAAATTGTGGCCAGTGTAGACGTAGCCACAGAGTTATTACATGTTATCTGTAGCAATAGGATATTACAAACTGAGTTGGCCAAGCCAGAAGACCTTAAAATCTCTTTACATTCATTTTATAATCTCCACTGCAAGTAGGGATGTGAAAAATTGTGTAAAAATCCTAGCAATTACACGGTTAAATGTGCTGTGAGCTCTTCAGTATAACTTTTATACTGCAGAGCCACAGAGCAAGATGAGAGCTGACTCGCTGGAGGCTGGGCCAGCAGGGGCTGCTGGAGGCTGGGCCAGCAGGGGCTGCTAGCCCCATTCCTGGGGAGCCGGATACTGCAGAAGAATTAATATTTCTGTGTCTTAGAAGGCTTAAATTCTATTATTGGCTGTCAAAACATCTTGATTCTTCTGTCCTAAGATTTTAGTTTTGAATTTCAGATATTGTCTTTTAAAGTTGTGCTGAGTCTCAGGATTTAAGCTTAAATGAGGCTGGCTGTTTAATCTAAAATCTCATGGCTAGTCAGAACTGTTAGCTTAAGAGATGATAGTATTTTCTAACACATCAGTGTATACTAGGTGCAACTGAAACACACCAACCTAGTAATGCTTAGAATTCCATTATTGCTGTTACACAGTTAAGGATTTTCTGCTCATTTCCTTCAGTATACACTGAAAACTATTTCACAATGTCCTGAAAAGACTTAAGTGACAGCACCTGACATTGTTGGCATTTTCAGTGCTTTAAGTGAAGCAGGTTGACCTTCTGGCGTTCTATTTAGTGGGTCTAGTTAAGACCCATAAATCAAGCGCTGAGAGCAGCTCTGGCCGATACGTATACTCCTCATGGTTACAAGGAGTAAGGAAAGCCGATGGGAGCATTTGCTCCATTTGTGGGGAAGGTACAAAGGTTGGCTTACGGTAAAATGACTCCAGCTATGGATTTTTCGTAGCTGGAGTTACGTAACTTAAGCTGACCTTCCAGCTCTCTTGTAGACCTGACCTTACTAAATAAGGGTATGTCTACACTACAGCACTAATTCGAACTAACTTAATTCGAATTAGTTAATTCGAACTAAGCTAATTTGAACCAGTGCATCTAAACCTAAAAAGTAGTTCGAATTAGCGTTTTGCTAATTTGAACTAGCATGTCCACATTGAGTGGACCCTGAACCGGGGTTAAGGATGGCCGGAAGCAGTGCCGGCAGGGCATCAGATTAGGATTTAGCACGTGTAGCTGCTGTCCCAGGCTAGCCGAGGGCTGTGCTTAAAGGGACCCGACCCTCACCCCGGACAGACAGTTCTCAGGGGTTCCCTGCTTGCTTGTCTAACTTGATGAGGGACAGCAAAGCAGTACTGGCTTGGAGTGCCCTGAGTGCCCACACTCGGCACATCACAGCACTCGGTCATCAGCCCGGCTGCACTTGCTGCAGGCTGCCATCCGGGGAGGGGGTCAATCGGGGGGCTGCAGGAGAGCTTCCCCCCCGAGGAGCCCGCAGAGCCACCCCAGTCCTCCCCATCGGGGGCTCGTACCCCATTCCTCCCTCACCTCCTTCCACTTACCCCTCCCTAGCCCTCCTTCTTGATGTACCAAATAAAGGACACGTGTGTTCAAAAATAGAAACTCTCTTTATTGAACAAAACTCAGGGAGACTGGGAAAAGGAGATGGGAGAAGGGAAGAGAGAGGATGGGAGACGGGAGGGTAACTAAAATGATCAGGGGTTTGGAACAGGTCCCATATGAAGAGAGGCTAAAGAGACTGGGACTTTTCAGCTTAGAAAAGAGGAGAC